CCAAATTCTTAAGGTGCCCTCGGTCAGTGGATGAATTCATTGTGGCCTCGGAGTTCAACAGTCTGGATACGCTGACATATGTCTCTCGCAAAACCTCAGCCCACAGCATCCTGTCGTTGATGCGATCAAGAAGATCCAGGTATAATTGCTGGAAATTAGGCTGCAGCTTGGCCCGTTCCTCCACGAGATAAGCAGCGAACCACTGGTGATGCTGGTCACGAAGAACATCAGTCAGGTCACGAAGCTTTTCATCAATGTTCTGCTCGGAAACATTGTTCAAAACAAAGAGGATCTTGTCCTGTATGTCCTCGTCTGGATCCGAGTAGACTTCTGGTCGAAGAGGGGAATCCACATGCACGGAAACGAACTTGCGGGCAGCTCCATCAGACGTCACAGTTTCCTCGAGGTTGCCATTCATTGAAGGTCCAGCAATAGACTCGACTCTACCACCGTCATCTCGAACTTGGCTTCCTTGTTCGCGCAGAACTTCCTCGGCCTTCTGGAAGATCGTGGTACCCTGCAAACTGGGTATTTGTAGCAGAAGGTGGCAGAAGCCAGCCCATTCGGGAAGGCGGTTAATCAGTTGCTCAATCGCCTCGACACCGAATTTATACATGGGATCATGAACCTCATGCTCTCGCACCGCTTCCAGAATCATACCCAGTCCGACCTTCAGCGTGATACCGTCAACCAGGCGGAAATTGATGATACCACCAAACATAACCGCCGTTTTGGTCAATGCCTCCAAGGGATATTCATGATAACAGTGGTATTCGTCAATCAATCCGTGAACCATGCAGGCGAAGAGATCCTGCTCGGCTGGCTCCCGGGAAGACTTGTACCGCCTCATTAATTCAAGAATTTCTCTTAAAGACAGTTCCTCATGATACATCTTGCCGAATAGCTCCTGCATTTGTTTATCAACAGCCTCAGGCAACGAATTCCCGTGTTCGCCGTTGGTGTCAATGATGTCATCGAATCCCTCTCCATAGTTGATGAGTCTGGGATAAGTTTGAATGCAAATCCGTTGCACGGGGGTGAGATTCTCACGATCACCAACGTATTCCTCGAGAACCGATAGTAAAGTGTAGACAGTCTTTACTGAAAGGCTGACCATTTGTGGAGCAACTTGTTCCTTTCTCTGCACATGGAGTTCATCCTCCGCCTTGATCCGCAGGAATTTGGACAGAAGACTACCCATATCCATAGGACCTTTTTGAGCAGCATTGCGGACCCATTGTTCCAAATCGAATGGACCTTTGCGATGAGCATAACAAGCAAGGTCCATGGCAAGACCATTCGTGTAACCGAGGAGATAATCCAACCAGTTGAATTCCACAGCCTGTTCGTAGATTGCTGCAGTGGAGGTGGGATCCTGAGTGAAAGTGGTGAAGAGCTGCTCCGCAACCCACTGACGATCCTGCTGCCATGCACCATGGAGTGCGAGGTGATAGCCTTCCTCTTGCTTCAGAACGAAGACAATCAGGGTGCGGAGGACGAAGTTTTGCTGAACACTGGTCCAGGGCTGGGGGAGAGAGAGTGCTGAGCATAGAAAGACTGGTAAGTCATACTGGACAACGGCTTTGATCAGCAGCTGACTCTCAGTAGCAGACCATGCAGCATTAGAGAACAATGCCAAGTCAAAGATGGCTCGCATGGCGTCCAGAGACCGAAGAGGTGACTTTGCCGCGCGTTCTCCCTGCAAGCGAACAAGCTCGGAGCCATCGGCGAAGAAGTCATCGGGGAAAGTGGCGCGTAGGTTCGGAATCTGGGAGACATCTACCCGGGAGGATACAAACGCCGTCAGGAACGACATCTGGGTATCGCGGTGTTCCCAGTCTCCACCCCACAGTTTCTGCACGTCCAGGGATGAATCTTCCGCAGCCACCGTTAGCAGGGCAGCGTATAGCTTCGTGAACTGCTGGGTCTCAAGCCTAAGGCCTTCGCGGTCGAAGTTGCGGAATACAAGCGGCCAATTAATCTGCTTTTCGCCATAGTTTGATCGGACTGCGCTCAAAAATGTCTCCAACGAGAATTCGCGCCAATACTGTGAGAGCACCAGGAAGAGAAGGGCGCTGGCTACGTGATCTTCGTTCCAGCAGTCAGAGCCCGCTGCATTGATCGTTTCAGTTACAGCCTCTGGGCTCGAGGTCGCCCGCGGTCCCTTTGAATGAAGCTGACGAACGAGCGTAAATTTTGGACTGAGAAAGTTGAACATTTGGAGGGAGGATGCGACTTCGAACGGCACGTCTTTCTGCACATTGCGGTATCGTAAGTTGGCAGCATATACCAATTTCCCTTTCACGTCGTCGGTGAAGTTCCTGGGCGGATACAATATAAAGCGCTCGATGGTCATTGCAATGAAGGAATTCTTGTATTCCTTGGCAGGGTTCGCGAGGCTTTGTAGGAAAGGGTTCACGGAGTTTGAGAGGATTGCATCAGCTGCATAGACCGACCGATTAGCATCTACCCGCATACGGTGCAATAGCTACTTACCTTTCGCGCGTAGATCTGACTTGTTTGCGGTTTTGAATGCCAGAGCTAAGGATACTTTCACAAGTGGATCAAGCTTGAAATGATCCAAGAAAGTCGACAGGTCAAAGTCACGAAAGATATCGCCTTCCGAGGTATCCACTGTCTCTGCAATCTTCTGCGCTTGCTCTATGTCCTGAGGGACCTTCTCCATCTCCTGCACCAAAAGCGGGTAATTGCCGGCATTTTCCACAGACTTATTTACCCCGGGAAATATCTGCGGGGCATTGCCTGTGAGCAAGCGTCGAAAGTATTTCGAAAAGACCTCCATGCCGTTAGACTCTACGAGCTATACAAACCAGTCAGTACTGCGATAACGTCTGAATGTTCGAAAGCGCCAAAGGAATGAAGATGTTACCTTATGGATCTGTGCGGCTTTTGTTTCCCACTTCTCTCTACCTTCCTTCTCTGTGATGGAATCCAGGAGAAGGAAAACTTGGGCAATAGATATCTTAGTAAGCGAAGACTGGCTTGCGTGAGCTGCAGCGCCCGAAGCTGCTGATCCCGGTTTGTCGGATGGGAATCCTGTAGGCGAGTTCACGGTTGTACCAGCCAACAACGGAGAGAAGGTGGCGCCTCTGGAAGATCCCGTCCCACCTCCGCCTCCCCCGGAGCCTCCTCCACCCGCAACAGATCCCGCTGCGGAAGCCAGATGTGACCCTGAAGAGGGGGTATGAGCTCTGAACTTGGGCGAGGAGAGAGTTTGTCCGGATTGCTGGTGCTGTTGTGAGCCAGATTGGAAGGAGGTGAAAGGTGCCGGCGTGGAGGCTGGCGAGGGCGCGTTACGGCCAACGGGAAGACCCCTAGCGGAACTCAAGACGGCGGAAAAAGAGGTAGTGAGAGGGGAGGAGGTCGAACCACCGGGACCAGGGCTACTGGACTGTGGTGGCCCGCGAGAGGCTGAGGGGAGAATCGAGGATGATGCGAGGTTGTTGGTCGCAAGCGGAGTCAACCCACGCCGAACACTAGACTGGGACACGGTTGGACCCCAAGCAGATTGCTGTTGTGACCTTGCCGGTCTTGTCGAAGATGACTTATCGGTGCCAGAAGCAATCGACGATTGGGAGGAAGGAGGAGGGGGAGGGAAGGTCATCTAGGAGACGCGATCATTTGATCTGAAGGCGAGCGACAAATTTTTATTATTCGTGATCACAAATAGACAATGGGAATTAACTCAAGTGAGAGAAAAATCGGAGATGTGCAACAATCGACGGATTCTGGCAGCGGCGAAGCGATGACCGATGACAATGAGAAGGACGTTGCTTCGTGGCACAAGTGGATGGGAAGTTCGGGATGGGTGTGAATGACGGGCAGCAGAAAGCGAGGTCGAGTGGACGGGGCAGGCAGGTGGAGCTGCCTGAGGAGTCGACACTAGTCTGCCTTAGGCGGGAAACCTGGGCGGCTCTGCTGAAGGTAGATGAGGGAGGAATTCCGAGCAGCACCGGACAGGATGTGAAGCATGGCCTGGGCGAGCTACGCAGGTTTGCTAGGTAGTATGGTTAGGGTACCTAGTAGCCATACGCCCCTAGTAAGTACAGTACCTCTTGCAGTGAGGAGGACTTGAGAGGACTTCGTGTTCTGCTTCATGCAGGGAAGGAAGTACGGTTACTCTAGGTACCTGAGGCACAAATGATGTGAGGGGGAAGGGGGAAGTATCCCGCGAGTAACTCCGACCGTCGGGCACGTGAGCCCCCGGGGCACTATGCTCCAATGCGGATGCTTTCGAGATAGATGAGTCAGCCCTGCTGCCAAGTTCAGCAATCGATGGGATCGATGCATGCAGCAAAATGTGAAATGAACTCGAGGAGAGGGGCGAATTGAGAAATGATGATATACCTATATCTAGAATACGTTTGATAGTATTGAGCTTACGGACATCTGTTTGCTTGCTTCCTTCGTGATATCTTTACGTGGATTCAGCACTATCCTCTGCATGCACCAGTCAAACTACTTATAACGTGCAACCAATATGCCTGACGAAAGACCGGGAAAAAAATGAAAGTGAATAAATAGCATTATGCAAAGGGACATGAGGATCGATAGCCATAATAATGATGGGAGATTGGCACATTCTTCCCATCAGCGGGACTAAAATCGGGCCCCCACCGGTCAAGATCATGATGAAACACTTCAAGGTACTCAGTAAAAACCACAGATGACGAACCATAGTACAGTACTGTACTGAGTACTATCACAGGGACAAGTGGTCCGCGTTCAGTGTGATACATTGGAAATCCACGAGGAATGTCTCGGGACTTTGGAGCTGGTCTGGGGGGAGCTGCCTGACTTTGCCCCGTGATACGGCGCTGGTTGCCCCGAGAGACACGGAACTGTAAACATGACGGCGTCAACCATCTTTCATTCCAGGGCCAAGCTTGTGGCCTTTCTCCACCAGAACCAGCCTGATTGTGCTGCCTTGCCCATTCTTTCCTTGGAATTTGGTCTTCCCTTCTCAGTTTCCAAGGGCCATCTTTGCATCTTGCTTTGTCGTTATCGTTTGATTTACACCCACCTTAATATTACGCCTGCGGCTCACCATTAAGGTCTCCCATATTGCCGTTAATTGATCTTATTCCTTCGTACGATACTCAGATGAGCACAGGCTGGCCGAAACTCAACAGTCGTACCGGACTTTAATTTGTCACAATGCCAGGGACGGTTGCAGATGGGCCAACGGTGGCTATGTCGTGTATGAAACCTGACCTCTGTCATTGTCAACCTTCCAGGAATAGTGCGGCTAACGCCAATTTATACCTATAGTTGCCAATAATTTTTGGGGGAAAGATGATGCCGGTGTCGGGCCTATGATGGATCGGATGCACAATGCGAAGACGTCTTGCGACGAATTGAAGACGTTCTATAACAGTGCGTCATACGCCACTTGATCCATCCCAACAGCAGCGTTCGTGACCTAATAAAATGGCAGTTCGAGCCGCGATCGAAGATGAATATGCACGAAAGCTTCTGGCCCTCTGCCGCAAACCGCTTGGATCGACTGAAATCGGCTCACTGCGTTCTTCGTTTGACACGGTCCGCGGTGAAACCGAAGCTATTGCGAAAGCCCACGCAGCAATTTCTACACAGATGAAGAGAGAGCTGGAGGAGCCACTGATCGCTTTTGCGGGAGGATCTAAAGAGCGTAGAAAGATCATTCAGAATGGTATCGAACGCCTTCTTAAAACTAAAATCCAGCAAACCCATGTCGTCAACAAGGTAAGCTGAGATAATTTTTTATATCAAGCGCAGTATACGCCGGATGCTAAGCTGTTGCAGACAAGAGATCGTTACGAACAGGATTGTTTGCGAATCAAAGGATATCTCGCGCAGGGTCACATGGTTATGGGTCAGGAAGAGCGCAAAAACAAAGCCAAGCTTGAGAAGACGCAGATTCAATTAGCATCCAGCAGCAGCGAGTACGAAGCCGCAATTAAGATACTAGAAGAGACAACTGGCCGTTGGAACAAGGAGTGGAAATCTGCCTGCGATGTAGGTATCAATGGACTGCTCAGATTGTCTTTGACTGACAAAATCCCAGAAATTTCAAGACCTGGAGGAAGAGAGGCTCGATTTCACCAAAAGCAGTCTTTGGACATACGCAAACATTGCTTCTACTGTTTGCGTCAGTGATGATGCTGTAAGTTATCAGTTATCCTTGGACTGCTGCGGGTACTCAGCTCAGCGACTAATGCCTAAGCAGTCGTGCGAGAAAATCCGTCTTTCTTTGGAAGACTGTGAGGTGGAGAAAGACATAATCAACTTTATCAAAGAAAGAGGAACTGGGCAGGACATACCAGATCCACCAAGATTCATCAATTTCTGCCGGGGTGGAATCGATGATACTAGCTCCGAAGCATCAGAGGAAGAAGGCTACTCAGTAGCCCAGTTCCAACGCACGATCAACCCTGCCTACCGCAGTTCATCCCCGCAGCCTTCAGCCTACGACGCCAGTATGGATCCAGATGCTGAGATCGCAGCCAAGATTAATAGGCCTCCGACTCCTACAAGCAGGGAAGCTACCGTGACTCCACAGAAGCCAGCACCGCAAGCAAGACAGCAAGCACATCCTCAGCCCATCCAGCAGCCCATTCAGCCGCCAATCCAGCAGCCCATCCAGCAGCCCATTCAGCAGCCGGTGCCGGTGCAACCGGTGCAGCCAATGCAGCCTCCACCTATGCAACAACCGGCTCCGTTGGATCTTCGCCGTGGTGGGTACTTACCGCCCAATTATGATCCTAATGAGCATGGCGAGATCGGCACTGTACCTCATAACGCCTATCCTACGGATGGCATGACGATGTTCTGCCGGACGGGGCCTCCCTCTGAACGCAGCTCAGGGACAAACAGCGCATATAGACCGTCGAGTCGTGATTCTCAGAGTGAGGTGTCAAATCCGACTTCGATGTCAAGCCAAGAACCTTCGAGCGCAAGACAATCTCCGACCAAACCGACCAATGGCGTCGCACTTCCTGGCATGGATAAGCAGGTTCAAAAGAAGCGAAGCGCGTTCTTTAGTAATAGTCCTTTCCGTCGCAAGAGCCGGCACGATAAAGACCGCCATTCGGGCCCAGCTCAGGCTCCCTCTCGCAATTCATACGAGCCTCCAGCAAAGCAGGCAAGCCCAATCAAAGCTCCTCAGCCTCAACAACCTATATCCATCCTAGACTCGGGCAGGGTGTCTGGTAGCCCCGAGCCCGTTGATCCAAGAGCTAATTTCCAGCTCAATGTGGGCAACAACGTGTTCGATGTGGAGTCTCCAGACAAGGATGCTAAGAAGACAGTACAGGCGAGCAAGAAAGCAGAGGAGGAGCAAGACCCTGTTGCCCGAGCCTTAGCAGATTTGAAAGGCGCAGGAAAGCAGTCAGCGTCTCGAGTCTCAGCCGATAGATATCACGGTATCGCTACGCCGGTTCCGCCGCCGGTCGCAGCACCAACGGCCACCCCCGGCTCTGTCGCAACACCTCCTCCAGCTTATAATGATTCTTCATTGAAGCGTCTAGATGCACCGCAGCCCGCTTTTACTGCAGCCCAGATGCAAAAGACGACTCAGAGGTATACTGGACAGACCCAGAGTATGCTTAGAGGCACGAGCCAGGCTCCGAGGCGTGACAGTGGCCAAACACAGGACGCTCCCCGTGCTAAATCTCCGGCGCCCAGGCGAAGCGCCAGCCCTCAGGTCAATCCTCCCCGCGTGGAAACGCGCATGGGCCAGTATAGTCGAGCAGCAAGCCCGAGCCCGAGCTCGTACCAGTCAAATAGCATGAAGAACCGATATGCGCAGTCTCCTACCGTTTCCACACCTCCTCAACGCCCTGTTGATGCTACACCCCGCTCTCGGCGCGGCTCTGTAGCCACAAGTATGCCGCGAGCAGTGTCTCCCCAGCCTCAGTATCGTCAATCTCCCACGGCGGCCGCTTCGCGAGCTGTTTCACCCCAGCCACAGTTTCGACAACCCCCACGAGCTGTGTCACCTCAGCCTCAGTTCAGACAGCAGGCTCGTCCTTCCAGTGCTGGAGGTATGGAACTACAGCTGTCCAGCCCCTCTGACATGTACGCTGGTAGCAATGATGGCTATGCGTCCCGGCGCGACAGCGGCAGACCCATGTCATATTATGGTGACAACGCCAGCGTACGCAGCCGGTCGAGAAGTAGGTCAATGGCTGTCGCCGATCCTGGCAGACAGTTCAGTCGTGATGGTAGACCAATCTTACATTTCGGTAAGTTCTGACTTCTCCTTTTTCGCTGCACTTTTGACGAGGCGCCCTCCTAACACTCATATCTATAGCTCGAGCAATGTACAGTTACACGGCCGCTATCCCTGAGGAACTAGGCTTCAGCAAAGGCGACGTGCTTTCCGTCATCCGGCTGCAAGATGATGGCTGGTGGGAAGCCGAAATCACAACCACTCGAAGCCGAACCGGATTGGTGCCGAGCAACTATCTACAGATCATCTAAAATCAGCAATCTTCTGGATTTATGCAATGACCCATACCCCTGTTATTTCATGAGCATTTCAATACACCTACAAGCCGACAGTGACCTCTATCCTAATTGACGCGTTCATGATATTGATACCAGATTGTGCCTAATTTCTTTTCTTTGTCCTTCTGGTTCTACTTCTTCCAGCACGTTTGCCTTCCAAGCCATGTAATCACTCTTTTACCTACTTTTGCTGCCCCCGACTATTACTGTCCTTTGCAAGCCTTGTCGTTTGGGAGTCGGTCCTCTTATGAGTTTGCGATACCTCTTTGTCAGATTAATATGACGATTGTCCTTCTTTTCCTTGTGGTCTGGGGCTCGGTTGAATAATGTTGTTATCCCAAATATGAAATTGTCTGAATCTAGGATTGAGCGCGGAAGCTTTCCGCAAGCTACGAAATTCAGTACATATTCTCCCGTGTCCATGCCTCATAGATCCTAGGCCGGGGTCTTCTACCTGCACAATCATTCCCGGTGTACGCAGGTGAACCCGTAGCTACGATGCGTCAAGAACTGGCCATCGGGGTAATAAAGATGAGAAACCAGGATGTGACGGGCTAGGGAAAGGCCGAAATATGATTTTCCTGCCTGCTCAGGAAAGTATCGAGGAGTGAAATCAACCCAGCCAACTATATACCTGACAGGATGAACGTATGGAACAAACATATACAGCATACACATGTAAAACTGGAAAGCTAAGGTTTATGCGCGCTGGAACGTAGTTATGTATTATGTTCTCGACCCGACACTGTACAAGGCACGACGAGCTTTACTCCATCTGAAGCCTCCCAAGAGATGAAATAATAGAATTGAGAGGGAAATACAGGTCCGACACCCGACTTCCAATCCAGAGGGCATTGAATGGACACCTCTTGAAGGGTTCACCACAAACTAAGATTAGGTTTGGTATCATTCGTCATCGACAAAGGAGTTCGCCAGGCGGCCAAAGATAGGGACCTCAAAGTGATCGAGCGTATCAACTGTGGGGGGGTGACCGATGTCAGCGCGCTTGATAACTGCAAAACCAGTCGACAAGAGAGAGGGAGGGCGGGGCCAGCCCTACCATCGCGATAAGCACGCATGCTCAAGAAACCGATCATCGCAAGATCGCCGACGAACAACAGCCAGGATAGAAAGCTTGATCCGGAGCAGATAAGGTGAATGATCTGGAAAAGGTGGTGAGCCCATGGCCTGCCTCGTATGGCTGGAGTGCCGATTTGCAACCAACAACAACAACGAAAACTTACAAACATGGCGGTGAAGAGCATGCTCGATTGCCATGCATGGAACCTATATCCCAGTTAGCAGCAGGACTAAGACGCAAGGGTATGATATCTGTCGTGGTTGGCACATACCGTACGTAGTCGCTCTTGTGCTCCACCAAAAGGAGAAAAACACCACCGGCGGGAGGCAGAAGCAGATATGCCAGCATTGCTTCGACGTCCATGCGGATGGGGAGACTGGTGTCGAAGGCGCCGAGGCTCAACCGGCCGCCCTCGAGGTCGTTTCCGAAGCCAGTGTTTCCATGGCCGCTGGCGTTGTTGACGTTGCCTGCACCAGCACCAGCACCACCGGCAAAGTGACTCGGGGATGGCAGGCCGGGGGAAGCAAGACCAGGGGCTGGAGAGCCGCGCGGGGACTGGATATTGGGAGGTCTCGTGCGATGCGCCTCGCCCAGCGAGGGGGAGAATGCACGTTCCACCTCTGGCGATTCGTCCTGGTAAGGGGCAAAATTCATGGTGTTGAGAAGGATGAGTCCATAGTCAAGTTGCAATCCAGGCAACGTCGCGCAAGCTTATCGGGCGATGGAAGCTTTATCGCAGTGGATACAAATTAACTTAGTATGGGCGGTGATGTGGTTTGGTGCCTTAGGCAACATTATCCATCCCCCGCGACATTTGTTTACGTATGTTTACGTACTACAGAGAAAGTGCATGTGGTAATTGGATTTGCGAAATTTGTCTTCTCATGGGGGGTATCATAGTAACCACAGTATTTTAGTGCCTCCTTCATTGGTCTCATACTATACATGTCTCATCCACAATCGTCATGCCATATTTACTATTTTAGGCCCGGCCGCGACCACGCGCAATGCCCGAGCCCCTCGCAATCCCACTGGCCGGTCTACGTGTCGTACTAGTCGCAGGTGGTCTCCCCGTTGTGGTTGAAGACGCCATGGTCCGTGTGGCGCCAGGTCGTGTGCCCGAGTATGAGATGCCAGGAGTTCTTCCCAAGCCACCGCGCACTCTTCCATAACTCGACCCGCGGGTGCCTCTGGCGCTGGCAGCGGCGGCTCTCTTTCTCTCGTCTTCCGCAGCCTTGCGGGCAGCAGCTTCTCGCTGTTGTTGAAGCTCTCGTTCGCGTCTCTCGGCAGCCTGCTGCCGGAGAAGTTCCTCGTGTTCCGAGTCGGCCACATCTTGAACCGCGCCTTGCCAGTTCGGGTTGAGAATCAAACGCTGATTGTGCTCGGTCTGGGAGAGAATCCGAGTCCAGGTATTCAGGAGGGTAGAAGCGGAGTCGAGCGTTCGTGAAACGGTCTATAATGAGTCAACAATTAACGACTATAAGTCTAAACAATGACGCAGTAACACCACACTCACATCCATGTTCCCTTTGGCACGGTCAAGGCTCCCGAGGAGACCCTCAATGACTTGATTGATCTTACGAACGCTCTCTAGCTCGCTGCGCAAAGCGGCTTCGCGCGCCTCCTGGCGGTCAAACATTGTCTCTCCATCATCATGGGGAGGGAATTTTGTTGGTTCGGGTGACAAGCTCTCCTCCTTGACCGCTTTAGAGGCATACCGATTATTTCCACGCTTGGAAGGCGAGTTCCAGAGATCATCGGATTCGTCTTCAGATAATTGCAGATTCAAGTCATCTGCTGTGCTGCGAAATGCCATGATTTTTGAGAAGGAGGGGGAGGGGGAGGGGGAGGGGGAGGGGGAAATGGGCGGAGGGGAAGTGGGAGTTGCAGAGAGGGGCGGATCGATAAAGGATAAACTCGAGTTGATTGAGTCTGTAGCGCGTAGCTCAAGGACCAATGGATAGATGACAAGCCGCGGATCGTCGGAGAGTAATCGTAGGGCGTGTTCAGCCACTGATCATAGACTAGGGTATTTGTTGAAGCCTCGATCGAAGATTATCGAGTCAAGCGGGAGTTGGGTTGGTGTGGCTGGGAAGGAAACAAGAGCATTCCACGACCACGGGCGTTGCTCCGCCCTTCCAAGTTCGCGCCCAAACCCGCCTGCCCACCGGCATTTCCCCCCTCCAACCAGCCAACCAAGTTCTCTTCCCTTTACCAACTTCCATCCTTTCTTCACTCAATCACCGACTTTGTTACCACCACAATCACCATTGAATTACCCAGCTATCGCCTCCACAATCACCACCACTCCGACTATCGCGTCTATCTCCCATTCTTTCGCTCCCATCCGATCCTATCTGTCCACTTTTGACCGGCTTGGTTACTCGCGTTGGAGAAGCAGTCGGCTTCCCGGTCGTCGCGCGTTTTCCTCCCTTTGTCTCCCTTGGATTGCTTGCACCACGGCTTGGAACGGACCTTGCACAACACCCATCCTCTGCGACTCTCTTGGAATCGATTACATCACGATTCAGCGATCGTTCTCTGTTGGCTTGGAACTGGGATTGTTTGAGGATATATATCGTCACCTAGGATACACGTATCTCACACAAAATGGCGACAACACCACCGCCGCCTTCCACGCTACGGATTCCTCCCACCCCCCGACACGGTGCCAAATATGATCAATATGAGCCCTATTCTACGCGTTTTTCGTCCAGACTAGCCAGTCAACGTGCTTCCAGAGAGTCTCAGACCACGCCGCCGCCTAGTTTTCCGCCTGCGCGCGCAAGCTCAAAGCTTCCGAAGAAGCAAAACGCCCGGGAATCAGCAACATTGTCACCACCAGGCTCTATCCAAAGTTCTCCTCGGAAGCAAAAATCGGGCCGGCTCACTGGAACACATTCACTACCACACTCCACTCTGGACGACTCCGACCCTTTCAACACCGAGCCTTCCCACACTCGTCCCCCACAATTTCTCCGACCCACACTCACTGAAGGGATGCTGCCCACACCAGCAAAAACGCCACGGAAGAAGGCAGTCGCAGATGTTGGGAATACCGCCAGAGTTCTCTTTCCTCCGCCTCCCAGCTCTAGCTCACGGAAGAAGCCTAAGAAACATACTGGGTTTTCTCTAGATAGCTTCACTGAGGATTTCGGCCAAAGCGGAACAGAGATCAAGATCTACACCGATTCTCGCGATCGTGTCCCAGAGTTGGATAAGAGTGAAGGAAACCCGTTCTACAAGAAGCCCAGTAGTAACACAGGCACTCGCTCTTCCCGACGCAAAGAGATGATCCGTGATAAGGAAGTCGAGGAGTCAGTCAGGCGTGAAGATGGCATGGTCTACGTATTGTAAGTCTTACCTTGATTCTGATGTATCTGTCATATGTTCTAACTCTACTTCGCAGCCGTGGCAAGAAAATGTTCCGCAAGTTCACCGATGACGTTGACAGCTGTGGCGAGGACGAAGACGATGATGACCTGGGCTTGCTGGCGGCTCGTCCAGATCTTATCGATGAATCTGTGACCGCGAAGCTTCGACCTCTCACTCGCTCATCAATCAAACCCCGCGTGCTCTTCCGTTCTGCGGCTTCTGATGCACAGCAGGATGGCACGGGCGAAGCGGACGAAGAAGCAGCTACAGATATTGAGGATCAACTACTTGACGTTGAGGCTGAAGAGACAGACAATACCGACCTCGATCTCGACATGCTGCAGAGGTCTGTCACACCTCCCCGGACTACCACAGCGTCCCCTTCATCTCCCGGTGGCACAGTACGCTCCCTGAGCTCTCGAATCAAGCGAGATAGCACAGAGAAGAGCGAAACCCCGTCTGCCTCGGGCTCCGGAATTAAGAAGAAGCGCGTTAGTCCCTTCGACGGCTGGCTTCGAAGCAAGCAGGCTCCCCCCGTGATCGGTACCAAGGCCAAGAAGCGTGACGCGGACGCTGCTGCCAGTCCTGGTCCCGTTCCGAAGAAGACCCGCGGCAATCGCGCAACTACGTCGATATCATGATGACTAGCCTGGGGTGACCGACATAATACCACTGAGGATGAAGCTCAAATTCTATCGACCTTACCAACTCAAGCAAAGGAGTTATACGGTGTTTTCCGAATCTGTCTTCCAAGTTTCTTTTTCTGATCTTTACCTCACTGCGTGTTCTAGCGTTCTAGGCTCTTTCTTTCTTTCTTTACTTCGATCGATGCATTCGACTATCCTGCCGATGTCTGGCTCACACAACACGTACCAAACGCACATGATTATGAGACCGATACTCGCGATTAGGGAGGATAGTAGTTCTATGGGATGCGGGTTCAAGCGGGATGGAACTGGCTAGGTTTGGCGAAGCACATGGTTGGCGTTGTTCTCCTTTCTATCTCTCTTCTCGATTCTCTTCTTGCACTTGGACCGAATCATTGATCGCTACCACGATGTCTATGATCCCCACCCCCCTGCTTTTTCGGGCTCTCCTGCTCACTCTCACTCACCTTAGGTAGATCATTAGTTTAGCTTGAGGGACGTGCTAGGTACTGTCTTGGTCTCCCCTTAGATATCCAATCAAATTGAATACCAAACGATGAACATATCCAATTCTCCGCCGTTCTCGTACTTCGTGGTCAAGTATCTCTACATCCTCCCGATTATACATGTGATGCAGTTTTCATCAAGCACGGCACACCGTTCTCTAAATGACCCAGAATCACATACACCAATTCCCCGATCCAGTGAACGCCCGCCTCTAAATGCCATCAAGAAGAAACCAACAAACAGCCAAGTCAGGCCTTCTTTTTTGCTGCCGCTTTTCCGAAGAAATCACTCATTTTCTTCATCCCCGTGGTATTGACCTTTTTCAAGTCTCTTACACCTCTCGACTCACCAGCCTTCTTCTTCTTCTCTTCTTCCTCCTGCCGCCTCTTCTTCTCCGCCCGCGATTCCGCCGCTTCTTCGTCCTCAGCACTGCGCTTCCGACTGAAATCCCCCAGCGACCTCGCCGCCAAGGCCTCCTTCCTCAATCTCGCAACCAGCTCGAGATGCTCCCGCATGGGCCGGAAATCCCTGGGCGCGTCCGGGGCCGCCAGCATCTCCTCGATCCGGGCCCCCATCTCCCTGGACAGGTACGACTCCTTGATGAAGGTCAACGCGGTCGAGATGCGCAGCAGCTCCGCCACGCCCTCGGGAGTCGACGGTCCTTCGGGAAGCAGTTCTTCCTCTTCTGTTTTGACGGCTGTCGTTGTCGAATCCGCATCAGCCACCACCGGGGCCTCTTCCTTTTTCTGGGGTGCGAGTTCATTCTCTTTATTCTCTTCACTATTGCCTGAAACTACCACCTCGACCGTCACAGCGGCAGACGTGTTGCTGCTGCTGCTGCTGCTGCTGCTGCTCCTCTTCACACCCATCAACGGCATCGCCAGCTCGCTCCGCACAAACCTCTCCTCCAGACTCGGGGGCAGACTGCCCCCGTGGGCCGCGAGAATCCGCTCCGCTTTCGTCATCAGCTCCATCAGGAGCTTCTTCTCGCTGAAGCGGAACAGCTTCTCGTCGCCGCCGGCGTCAACGGCATCGCAGATCGCGGCGGCGCGGGCGTGGATCGTCGCGCGGAAGCTCTCGTTGTAGAGGACGTGGCGGAGGTGCGGGGCCAATTCGTCTTGGATGGAGTCGATGATGTCGTCGAGGGGTTGGTAGAGGGTGGCTTTGGCGGTGGTTAACAGGGGGATCAGGAAGAAGATGAAGTCGAGGGGTGTGGCGAGGTGGATGGAAGCGGTTGAGGAGATTAAGGCTGGCGGAGAGCGTCGCGCTGGCTCTTGAGCGGTGGGAGGTGAGATTTCAATGGTGTCGTCGTCTGACGTTGTGGTGGTCGGTGTGGAGTTGTTGCGCGCAAAGAGAATGCTTCGTGCGGCGGGCGCGGCGGTGGTGATGGTGATGAATTCGTAGACGCCCTGTTGCGGGCAGAAGAAGTAGCGGGTGGGCTCGCTGGTTTGGGGATTGGGGAGGGTGAGAAAGCGGGCTTCGGGGCTGGCCGTGGAGGGTAGAATGAATGTTTTGCTGGGTTTGGTTGGATTTAAAGGCTGTTTGGGGGGTTGTTGTTGTTGTTCGAGCTCTGATGAAGGAGGAGACGCTGAGGCCGATTGCGGCGTAGGCTCCGAGGGAGCGGAAGATCGAGTGCGCGGCATTGCGAATGTTGTAGTGGGTTTTAAGAGGGAGACGGGACGTAGAGGAGGAGGTGTTCAAAAAGCGACAAGCGGTAGCATTGCGGATTTCACAGAATTGCTTTCGATGTTGAAGAGGAGTACTGTACTTTGTAAATTGAAGTCAATTGAATCGCAGCCCGGAAGTGCTCAACGCGTCTTCTCGGTCAGCCGACGCGACAACGCGCGAGCCAATCAGAAAGAAACTCACAATCCGCCCGCGGCGGTTAAAGTTAAGTTCCAACTTAGTTAACGTGAGAAGTGTTGAAATGCAGTGGCAGAATGTCATTGCTGCGTTCATTCGATCCTTCCCTTCCCTTGCGTTTCATCTTATGCATGTCCTCGACTAGTCGCCTCCCATTGCAGTCCCCCTTCGTCTCTTCTTTGTTGTCGTTGTCAGTGGAGATGGACCGTGGTTGAGCACCCACACCTGTATTCTTACTTGACTCGATACTACGCGACAATCACCTCTGCTCCGATCGTCTTTTCCCCGCATCCCTTCATTCGCCTGAACATGGCAAGCAGTCACCAACGAGGCTAACAATTGCTAAATACCCTCTTCGCCTCTTACTACATACCGCCCTTGCCCTCAATTGTTTTTCTCGAATCTATATAGCTCGCGTGTGCTAATGACCAGCAGTGAGTACAGTCTTTCTGCCACATTCTCGTGATATAGTGCTAATATTCAATTGCGCCACAGTGGTCGATATTCCATGGCCGCCAAAATCACCGCGGGAGGCTCTTTTGAGTAGCCCGAGTGGCCGCAAACGCCTGGAAGAACTGCAGCGTCGTCAAGGAAACCCCGGCTCGCCATTGAAGCGCTCCGTCACGACCCCCGATTTACGATCCAAGGCAGCACAGCTCCTGAGCGACCGCATGGACGACGACGAAGATGAGGACGAGGATGAGGAGACATTGAAACTGAAATTGGCCGCCATTGAGGCTCGCCTCAAGCTGAAACAGCTTCAGAAGAGTCGCGCAAAGTCCGGAACTCCAGCACACGCCGCACAAGACGGAGACAATGCTCTTGTCCGACCTTCGTCGGCAGTGAGCTACTCATCGCAGTCACAGACCCACGTCTCTCGAAGCAGAACTGAGCGGAGGATCCAACACGACATCGCTCTGGACGACGTGCAGGTTCCGCTCTCACCAACACGACGGCCGACGGCCCCGGCGGATCCAGTATCCCCACGGAGATTTATCTTGGGTATTGATAAAGGTCTCAAATCAAGGGACGTGTCTCTGAAGCGACCTCCAAGTTCGCGAAGCACTGGCCAGTCACTTGCGACGAATGGCAACAGGACATCGACTGGTCGCGACGGCTATGTCTCACACTCGAACAAGCTTCTGCAGACAGTCACTGCGGATCATGAATACGGCCGCCCGAAGAGCTTCAGCGAGCGCATGGCCGAGAGTCGCTCGGAGGAAAAGGCCCGGAAGGATCGAGTTGAACGGGCTGAGCGCATTCAAGCCAGCCGGAGCACGGCGTTTCACATCGACAAAAATGAAGTCGAAGCGTTGAAAGCGGCTGCGGAAGCGAGGAAGGACGAAACCCCCCGGTCACCCGTACGCAGCAGGCAGACCGAAAGTTTCAGTCGGGAAGACGTCCTGCGGTCTTATGGCAAGCTCAAGCCATCCTTGAAACGGAGCCAGACCCTCCCCAGTGTACGGCCTCAGGACATCGATGCGGAACACAAGGAGTCAAAACCGTACTTGCACAGGCGAAATCTCAAGTCGGAATCTCAAGCACATGCCTCTTTGCTGGGAAGCTCCCAGCACAACGCTACGGATGACTCCCAGGGCGAGAACGGTGGTGATTCATCGAAATTTGAAGCATTCTCTGGCTTGCACTTGTCGAATCGGATTCTGCCCCATTCATTCCTCACGCGGACGCTCGAGGACAAGAAGGTTCTCCGTATTCCAGATCTTCTTCGAACCATCAAAGCACCGAACTTCGAACTGCCGGAAGACATCGACACAGACTACGTCGTTTTCGGCATTGTAGCATCCAAGTCCGAGCCCAGACAAGTCAAATCGAGCAAGAATGTCTCACAGAAGGAGGCCGACCCCTTCGACGACGGTCTCAACAACACCAACTCATACATGGTCATCACCCTGACCGACCTCAAATGGACCATAGATCTTTTCCTTTTCGAGACTGCCTTTCCGCGATACTACCGGATCTCTGAGGGGATCCTAGTTGCGATTCTGAACCCTACAATAATGCCACCTCCCAAAAACAAGCTGGATACGAACAAATTTAGCCTCGCTATCTCTTCCTCCGACGACACCGTTCTCGAAGTCGGGTACGCTCAAGACTTGGGATTCTGCAAAGCCACCAGAAAAGACGGCAAGACGTGTCATGCATGGGTCGATGGACGCAAGACTGAATTCTGTGATTTTCACGTTGATCTGCAAGTCCGCAAGACCCAAGCTGGGCGGATGGGAGTGAACAATGGACCAGGCATGTACGGGCCTGGCGGACGTTCTGGCTCCCGTACTGGTTACTTCGCGGGCGGCGGTCATGACGGCGTGAAACGACCCGGGCCACGAAACGGACTTAAGCCGACCGGCGCTCAATATGACAGCGGATCGCAGTCCGTTTTCTATGTCGCGCCTGCGCCGAAGACTTTCAACAGAGGTGGCCTGGGTAGTGGAAATGTTCACCGTAACCAGCATTCCCTGGGCCAGTCTGCAGCTAGCCTGATCGATGCTGATACGGACGACCCTTTCATCGCCGCAGGTCGAATGGGACGTGGGAGAGACAGCAAAGAAGAGCGGTTCCGCAAACGCCTTGCAGATAAACAGCGCGAGAAAGATATCACTGAAAAGCTCATCACCCGGACCAGCGGCGTAGGGGCAGAGTACCTCCGTGCTCGAGGTAATGACCATGTTGTTCCTGCTTCGCGTCCCAGCGATGCCTCAAAAATCCAATCACGCAAGGCCGGGGACAAGGACTCCGCAGTTGCTTCCCTTGGTCTTGCCAGTCTGCGCAAAGCAGCAGCCGTCAACCTCAGCCCTTTAAAACGCGCACATGACGGCGGTGGCAGCGACAGATCGCACGGCAGCAGTGCCGTCAAGAAAACTCGCTTCATCACCTCTCATGGTATCAAGGAAGCTGGGAGGGACAGTTTGGGCGGGAAATTAGAAATGGTATCCACGAACGTTCATGATGACGACGACGATGAATTGGACATCATCTGAGCTAATTGAATTAGAATCAGGAGAGAAGAAACAAGAACCCTTGACATCGTCAACACGAGGAAAAGAATAAAAACAAGATAATAATATTAGATACCCCTTTGACCGGTCCCGGATACATCTTGATGAGTGTTTTATTTTTGTCATGATTTGCTTAGCATTGTCCGTGATTCATTATGAAGGAGTCCTAGCACTGGAGGTTGTTCTCCTCTGGTGTTTATTTGACTCCGCCATGGGAACCTTTCTCTTTAAGTTTGGTACTTGAGCTACAGGCAACCCCTTTCAGCAGTTTCTGTTGCATGACTATACAGTACCATTTCTATGTCTGTCATCAAACACATCATTCAAGCCACCAACAATGCATGTTCGGAGGATTTTCACGATTGTTTGCCACTCTGGAGTATGTTCTCCTAGAAATTTGCCTACTAGATATCTCTCCAGCCAGATGGTACATGCTGTGTAAACTCCCTGGTTCTTTGTCAACGATGTTCGTGTCGATTGTATGGATTGAATTCTCAACATATATGGTAAGGGAATGTACTGTATGATTTGTTACTTGGTGAAGACTGGCAGCTAAATGGTACTGGCCTTCTCTCTCGTTAGGGCCGGAAGCTTCATACAAATCCACACTCGGACTCAGAACCCGCCTAGTCAGTCCTAGAATGCAATTCAGCTGAAAAGAGAACTTTCTGTTTATGCTGTGTCATAGCTATAAATTGAGAGAGCGTGAGTTAGTACTCATAAAGGTCTCTGGATGGTTGTTCGGGTGGTTTGTGATATAATTCATCCTCGATATATATGATCGGGTAGTCGCAAGCCCCATACTATGATTACTTTTGCTCTTCTCGTGTTGCGATCACATTGGTATATATCTTGCTGCGCATGACAGCCAGAAACCATAATTTGGATCATGGAAGACTGTATACAGTTTACGGAGATGGAATTATACAGTACCATAGCCAAGTGATGATCGGAAGTATACTTTCATAATCAGCTTAGATGGACATACTAGCACAACGCGTGTATACATTCCATATGCGGTTAGATATATAGAAAAGATGAATGCAAAACGAACACTGGACTGTATGTACATAGAGCGCAGAAGACTGCAAGGAAACTTCGTCAGCATGCTGAGTTCTTGCAACCTGCGTGTGAAGCTGTCTTGGGCGTCGATGCATGCTGCAGGTGACGATGGCCGAAGGAGTTTAAACATCCATTGCATGCTTCTGAACGGAAAAGGAATCCACAGTAGATCAATACGCTTCTAGATGTGACCATCGTCCAGATGAGGAGGTGTAATCTGCTGTCGTCGTCCCCAACACCATCATCATCGTGCAGCCATCTCGATTTCAGGGCTTCTACCATGGTCATAGCGACCTAGCACAGTACTTGCGTTCATGTGACAATCCCAGCTTGATCGCCGACAGGATTGCCACTCCCGTCAAAGTTGGCTACGACGCAGGTATCCGATTAAGTCATTGCTTTCCCTGGCTGACAGGATGAGCAAGTGCAAAAAAACAAGTGATCTAGATCAGAGGCGAGACTGTACCAACTGTCAATAGAGGGATTTACTCCATGCTTTCCCGTACTCTTACTTCCAACTGCCTCTTGGGTTGAAGAAGGAGGCCGATGATCGGAGCCCCGGGCCGGTTCGAAACCAATGAGGAGCCCCAGATTATGGGCTGGTGCCGGCACTAAACCCCGAAAAGGCTAGGAGGCAAAGATGGACGATCCCCGACTTAGGCAAGTCTGAGTCTTTCTCGCTCTCTTGCCTTTGCCTTAAGGTTACGCTTCCTCTTCCTCCTCTCTTTTCCCCGTTTTTCCATTCTTCGTTGTGAGCTTCGTCTCTCAATCTTATTTTCACCCGGTTTGGCACTCATCCGCCGTCAAGATGATGCCCCTGAGACCGTCAAAAAGCGCTCTGCGCACTCTGCATTATCAGAGATACCTCACCTCTGGCCGAAGGACTTTTACCACTGCCGCTGCCTCGCCCCACCGCTTCGCTGCGACACAGAAAAGAACCCAGAGCACTGCTGCCGCCACGGCCTCGTATGTGTTTCTCTCCCCCTGTCACCCCCAGTCGCACTCAGGGTTCCTGCTACCAGTACAATTTGCAATACTAATTCGGTTCCCAATTCCGCAGAAATTCGAGACCCATCCCCAGCCCTGCGTTCAACCAAGAACCTCACCGCAATGAAGTCTCGCCACTCCTGAACCGTCAGGCTCCCGAGCTGGACGACTCGTACGTTATTCCCACCGGTCCCTCTTCACTGCGATTTTGGCGCTGACCGGGCCCTTTGTGCCCACACAGTTTCGTCGGTCTCAGCGGTGGTGAGATTTTCCACGAGATGATGCTGCGTCTTGGCGTCAAGCACGTCTGTGAGTCATGCCTTCTTCCCCCTTCTCGGTGAAGGTATCAGGATTGACCCACTGTCGATAGTCGGCTACCCTGGCGGTGCCATTCTTCCCGTTTTCGATGCCATCTACAACTCCAAGCACTTCGACTTCATTCTCCCCAAACATGAGCAGGGCGCTGGACACATGGCTGAGGGTTATGCCCGTGCCTCTGGCAAGCCCGGTGTCGTTCTCGTCACTTCCGGCCCCGGTGCCACCAACGTGATTACCCCGATGCAGGACGCTCTCTCGGACGGAACTCCCATGGTTGTCTTTTGTGGTCAGGTCCCGACTAGCCTGATCGGAACCGACTCTTTCCAGGAAGCCGATGTGATTGGAATCTCCCGCGCTTGCACCAAGTGGAACGTGATGGTCAAGTCTGTTGCCGAACTCCCTCGCCGTATCCAGGAGGCTTTCGAAATTGCCACCAGTGGCCGCCCCGGACCTGTCCTCGTTGACCTGCCCAAAGATATCACCGCCGGCATTCTCCGCAAGTCTATTCCCATGAACAGCACCCTTCCGGCTCTACCCAGCGCTGCCAGCGTGGCTGCCCGCGAAGTGAGCATGCAGCAGCTCAAAGGCACTATCGGTCGCGTCGCCCGCCTGGTCAACATGGCCAAGAAGCCCGTCCTGTACGTTGGTCAGGGTCTGCTCGCTCGCCCTGATGGCCCGGAGGTTCTGAAGGAGCTGGCTGACAAGGCCTGCATTCCTGTCACTACTACTCTTCAGGGCCTGGGTGGCTTCGATGAATTGGACCCCAAGGCCCTGCACATGCTGGGTATGCACGGTTCGGCTTATGCCAACATGGCCATGCAGGAGGCTGATTTGATCATCGCCATTGGTGCTCGTTTCGATGACCGTGTCACTGGTAACATCTCCAAGTTCGCTCCCCAGGCTAAGCTGGCCGCCGCTGAGAACCGCGGTGGTATCGTGCACTTCGAAATCATGCCCAAGAACATCAACAAGGTGGTTCAGGCCAACGAAGCTGTTGAGGGTGACTGTGCGGACAACATCCGCCTCCTCCTTCCCCACATCGAAGCTGTGCCCGAGCGCAAGGAGTGGTTTGAGCAGATCAACGATTGGAAGGCTCGCTTCCCCTTCTCCTTGTACGAGAAGCAGACCGAAGAGGGCCCGATCAAGCCCCAGGCTGTGATTGAGAAGCTCAGTGACCTGACTGCTCACATGAAGGATAAGACTGTCATCACGACCGGTGTTGGTCAGCATCAGATGTGGGCTGCCCAGCACTTCCGCTGGCGCCAGCCTCGTACCATGATCACCTCGGGTGGTCTCGGTACCATGGGCTACGGTCTTCCCGCCGCTATCGGTGCTAAGGTCGCTCGCCCCGACGCTCTCGTCGTTGACATTGACGGTGACGCTTCCTTCAACATGACCCTCACTGAGCTGTCTACTGCCAACCAGTTCAACATCGGTGTCAAGGTCCTGCTCTTGAACAACGATGAGCAGGGTATGGTTACGCAGTGGCAGAACCTGTTCTACGAGGACCGCTACTCCCACACCCACCAGAAGAACCCCAACTTCGTCCCCTTGGCCGAGGCTATGGGTGTTGCCGCTCAGCGGTGCTCCAAGCCCTCTGAGGTCGAGGCCAAGCTCAAGTGGCTGATTGAGCACGATGGCCCCGCTCTCCTGGAGGTGATCACCGACCGTAAGGTGCCTGTCCTGCCCATGGTGCCGGCCGGTTGCGCTCTGCACGAGTTCCTTGTTTACGACGAAGGTATGCTATAATTTCCCCGGTCAACATGACTACAAACGCTGATATCCATGACTTTGCAGCCAAGGAGAAGGACAGGAAGGCCCTCATGCGCAAGCGTGGTGCTCCCATGTAAGCGACGGAGCTGATTCCAGCGAAGCGTTACGACGATCTTAGTTTTCTCCTTGCAAAAGTGCCCTCGACCCATGATCTGTTGATATCCACGGCGTTTCTGGCGGGTTCTAAAAACGCTCGCGGGTGCCATTCTGCGCCTACCCGACACCGATCACCCGACTCGCTTGGAGCCGGGGACCGTGAACGACAGTAAAGCAGCATCGTTCACTGGGGCGTGATCGAGTACCCCACGGAGAGTGCAGTTGCTATTCTGTGTGGCTCGTGGCTCGATGACCGCCAAAGTCTTCCTTTTCTTTTCTGGGCATGTTCTCAATCGCATTATGGTTTGCCAGAAAAAGTTGCCTCTTTAGTTCTTGCGGAACCTCTCTTGTATATAATCCCTTTGCTGCTGTAATCTTTATGACTTGGAAATACCATGGAGGCATTGAAAAGGAATTTGTTCCGGGGTGAAGACAAAGCCGAGAGAAGTAAGAGCACATACAGTAGGGTGTTTTCGGGAGCCTGGGGAGCCTGAGGCATATCACGTGCAGGCAGTTGGGAGGTCCAAGTCCTTTTTTGGCGATCTTCACAGCCGCGGTTCTTATCCGAAGTTGGGACTAAGTTAGTCAGTCCCTCCTCCGCCAGCCTGCGCTGTAACTTAGCTCTTGCTAATAGGGCTGGTTGCTTGCCCGCCTCTCGTCTTCACCCATTCTTTAGTTCTTCCCCCCTCCGCCACCGCCAATCTTTCTGTTTATTTTCCCACACGTCGCACTATGCTGCGCTCACCGATCTAACGTACTGTCACATCTCTTCACTCTATCTCCCTACATAGATAGTCCCGATACCTCACCATGGCCTCTGCTTCAGGTTTTCCAGCCGCTGGCAGGGCCCGATTATCCGACGCGGGTATGACATCAACCCACCAGACTGAAAGCACGACGACGACGACGACGACGACGACGAGCGAGTCAACAAATACCAGAAGCAACACCAATGCGACCCCCGGCGATAGCGGAGCCGTCGACGAACCGGTGCTTTCCCCCAGCCAGCCCTCTCCCTCCGCCGAGACCGTCACGACCGAACCTCCGACAGCGGACCAACCCACCCTGGTCGACCCATCATCATCAACCATGCACGACGACGAAGAACCGCGCAAATGCTGGATCTGCTACGCGGACGAGACGGAGGATACACCGCTCAGCTCGGAGTGGCGATCGCCGTGCCCGTGCGCGCTGACCGCGCACGAAGCGTGCCTCCTCGACTGGCTGGCGGACCTGGAGAATCCGCGGTCGCGCAAACGCAACGGCCGCAACGCGAAGATGGTCTGCCCGCAGTGCAAGACGGAGATCGTGGTGTCGCGGCCGCGCAGCTACATCGTGGATGTCGTGCGGCTGTGCGAGCGGGTGGCCGGCCGGCTCGTGCTGCCGGGGATGGTGTTCACGCTGGCCGGCACGGTGTGGGCGGGCTGCTGCGTGCACGGCGTCTACTCGATGTACTTCGTGTTCGGGACCGAGGAGGCCCGGCATCTGCTGGAGGAGTCGATCGACGGGTCGTGGAACTCCGGCCTGAACCTGGGCCTGCCCCTGATCCCCATGTGTCTGATTCTGACCCGCACGCGCTACTCGGAGAGTCTACTTGCTGCGATCCCGTTCCTGCTGCTGGTCACGCACCAGCCGGTCATCGAGCCGGCCGCCGCGACGGACCTCTGGCCGCCCACGCCGGCGGCGACGTTCGCCGCGCTGCCGTACATCAAGCGCCTGTATTCGCTGCTGTATGACCGGATGTTCGGGAAGCTGGAGAAGAAGTGGATCCTGGAGGTGCAGCCGCGGCATTCGGATATCAACGAGCTCGATGACAATGCGCCGCCGAACCATCCGGAGCCGATTCCCGATGAAGCGGAACCGGTGGATGATGACAACGGACAGGTGCTGATGGAGATCGACTTCGAGTTGCAGGTGGGAATGAGAGGAGACGAGGACGGGGCCCAGGGATTGTTTGGGTTCAACGGTGGACAAGGTGGAGATGGACAACAGCAGCCAGGTGCGCAGAATAACGGTGGCGGCGCAGCAGCAGCAGGACAGGGACTGGGCCTGGGCCGGCGGGATGATCTGGTTCTTGAGACGACGAACCTGGCAGATCTAATTCTCGGGGCTCTGGCGTTCCCGGCCATCTCCGCGTCGATGGGAGGGTTGCTCCGACATGTGCTGCCGAGCTCGTGGACAACGCCTTCCACGGCGGGCCGACCGGGCCTGTTGCAAACGCGCTGGGGCCGCAGCGTCGTTGGAGGCTGCGTGTTTGTGCTCCTGAAGGATGCGTTGGTGCTCTACTGTCGGTGGAAGTTGGCGCAGACCCATCGTCGTCGCAAGGTGCTCAACTACGACCGATCCAAGAAGCATCTCCGGGCGAGCAGCAGGACAAACAACAGCACTTAGGCTTATAGTACGTAGCACGACTGTTGGAACTTGCATTTATGAGGCGTTTTGTTCTGGGGAATGGGATGATTATTCATGATACACTTTTTATCGTTTCGTTTTGCGACTCTCCGACTCTGCGTTGTTTGGACAAAAAGGCGGGCACATTTTTTGAAGGATGCACTTAGCAATCAACAATAAGCACTTAGCAATCAGCAATTTGGATGCGATCGACATCATGCCTAAAACCCGTAGAGCGTTTTACCTCACCCAGTCTGTTGCACATAGTACATCGACTAACCAGAGCCCCGGGGACGGGGCGCTTAATCATCCACCTAAGCGCGCGGCTGGCCCGCACCGCACCGCAGCCCCCAAACTTTCCGCCGGGCGAGATACTTTCTTCCCCGAAACAATTCCCTTCACTCTCTTCCTCAACATCACGGCACCGCCTTGCCTCAGCCACGCAAGATGCGAACAACACTCTCCCCGGTTCTCGCCTCCCTGGCGAACGTCTTCCGCATCCCCTTGTCGCAGACTGCCTCCCGCCCGGCCGCCGCCGCCGCTCTCACCCGGCTCAATGGCAGCAGCAGCAACAGCCCCAGCCCCAGCCTCAGCAGCACCACCACCAACAACAGACAATTCTCGACGACAAGCGCAATGGCCAAGCGCAAGAACGCCGGTCCCGCACGGGACAAGCGAATCAGTACGTGTCCTATGGTCCCGTTACACACACCCCAACCCAACACCCGTACACTATACACCACAAGGGAGACTCAATCGTCCCAGTCAATCCCCTCAGCCAATCTCCCCCTCAATTTTGCAAACCCACCCCCTCAAAACCGAAACTAACAATTCCTGAAAAGCAATGATCCGCTACTTCCTCTACCACCCCCTGACCCCGCGCCCGCTCCGGTTCAGCCGCACCCGGTTCCTGCGGCACTGGACGATCCACCGCGCGTGGCACCTGTACCAGGCGCAGCGGCGGCGGGCGGAGTCGCTGGAGCTGGAGCGGCAGTGGCAGGCGATGCGGGCGGCGTGCGAGGAGCTGCGCACGGGCGCCGGCGACGGCGGCAAGCTGTTCCGGAAGAGCATGATCAAGACGGGGATCTTCAAGGATCTGTTCCCTATCGAGTACGCGCGGTTGCAGACCGAGGGCCCGCCGGGGGATGGGTGGAACCATGAGTGGAAGGCTATGAAATGATTCTCTTAGAATCTCGGGGGGGGGGGGGCTTGGGGTAATACAGGATGGAAGGTTGGGGTTCGATGCGTTGGGGGCGGGAAAATATGGGTGTAGAGTATAGCTCTCCTGGGTTTAAGACTGTTCTTTGTCGTGTATATTAGTACATACCTGCTTCAATCATATTATCTGGTGTTGTTTGTTTACCCCGTGGGTACCCTGCTTTGCAGTGGTAAAACTCTCATACTACTCATATTTACTGCCTCGAAGTTCAAATAGCTTAACGCTAGACACTGGTATGCATACGCATACACAGGTACACAAAGGAATGGACTCGAAAACCCGTCAAGGAAAGTAATGTCAGTCGACTCAAGTAATGTCAGTCGACTCCAAGGGTATGAAACAGAGGTCAAGACTGCAACAACAAAAAAAGGCCACCCGAACGCCGAAAATGCAAAGTCAATCAACAGCCACCACACTACCTCCTTCACATACTGTCCACCTTTTGGTCCCACCATCCCCCACAATATGCACATGCCATGCTCATGGCTCTCCGAGCGTTGGAAAATGGCTCAACAAAAGATGCAACAACACACAAAAGCGAAGAATCAATCTCGGTCGTGCGGACGGGCTGGCTGGCATGCATGCAATATGTTCGCTGGAAACAAGAACATCCTTTCCCCCCAAACATACAATACGAGAAAAAGAAAGATCCGTCCGACATCATAGCACAATGCAGCATGAGCTCTTCCGCTTGTCGAACGTCAACAGCGCGGCCCGGGTGGCGGCCTCGAACACGTCGTCCACCCCCTCACCCGTCAAGGAGGAACACTCCAAGTACTTGCGGGCGCCAATCTGGGTGCCGATATCGCTTCCTTCCTTGGACGTGACGAACCTCAGCGACTTCTTCCGCATCTCCTCGACCGCCAAGGGGTCCTCCCGGAGATCCTTCTTCAACCCGACCAGGATGATAGGCACGCCGGGACATCGTTCGTTGGCTTCTTCGATCCACTGCACCGTAGTAGCCCTCGTCAGCGCTCCGTTCTGCTGCCCAAGTTAGCAGGGCCACGAACCTTGTGTTTGACGTTCTCCAACGAATCGGGCGTATCCACCGAGAAGCCGATCAGAATCACATGCGCCTTCGAGTAGGCCAGCGGACGCAGCCGTTCGTAGTCTTCCTGACCAGCAGTATCCCACAGAGCCAATTGAACCGACCGTCCGTCCACACGGCAATCTGTTACGTAGTTCTCGAAGACCGTTGGCACCTAGGTTGGATCATGCGCCGGTCAGGATGTTGTTGCAAATCACGAAAAGAGCGACGGAGGGGGGGTAGACGATACATACATAATGCTGCATGAGACAAATCAGTCAGTGACATCATCCTTTGAGAGTTTCGAGTTGGGACAACAACATACCGTTGGAAAGTAGCCCAGCGTGAAGACGCTGAGCAAACTGGTTTTCCCACAGGCACCATCCCCAATAATCACCAGCTTTCTATCCTAGTCGTTAGAACCCAGGCGAACCTCGACTGTCCGGGTGCGTCGTGGTAACTTCATGGTGACCACCAACACAGAATGGGGATGGGAGATGGGCGGATCCCGGGGGATCTCCAGGCACCACCCGTTTCGGGCGGAGGTGAGAGGGGGGAAAGAGAGGAGAGGGGAGGGGAGGGAAGAGACAGGGTCAAGGGAAAGGAAGGTCGATCGAAATAGATTAAAGGCGAATCTGCTGCACGTACCTTCGCATCACATTGTCATTTTGTTGTTGTTGTTGCGCCATGATTTCCAAAGAGAAAAAAAAAGTGGGAATCTTTAAAGTCGATCCCCTGGACGGAGTTGCAGGCGAGGAATGGACGGGATGAGCAACGGGAAATCAATGCGAGGGCGCGATGACGAGCCCTGGCGGGAACCCGGAACGGAACAAAACCCCCCAGGCAGGCAGCAAGCAAGCAGGAGACTGTGACGGAGTTGTCTAGGGCCGTGAACTAAATCTCTGTAGTTCCAATGTGTGAGTGTAAGTGTAGGTGTAAGCGTAGGTGTAAGATGGCGAATGTTTAGTTTAAAGATTGATTGATTGGGGAGGGGAAAGTATAATGGATGGGAGGGGAAAGAAAGTGAAATCAGATTGGTCAATGTCCCCTCCCCCTAAGTATGAAATAAGCCGATGGAGGAAGAGAAAAGGGTCATTATATTGGGAAGGGAAGATGTAGGAGTAGAGAGCAAGAGGAACGAGGGAGGAGAAGGGGAAGACTGGAGAGAGGGAGAGAGAGAGAGAGAGAGAGAGGACGTAAGAGTAAGAAGAGCAAGAGTAGGTGAGTAGGTAGACAACAGCAATCGGAGCAAAGCAGAGAGAGTACGGAGTAGACAAGACAAACAGTCAAGACAGACATGGCCAGGTCCAAGATTGATTCTGGAAGGCGGTCGCCCATCCAAATGAGGCTGACGGGTAAGAAATGAAGGTCATGGTATGTAATCCCATGTAATCCCATGTAATCTCACAAGCAACTCACCTTCTCGGGCCCGAATACGGTCACGGAACAAAGCTCCAATTATGACTGGTTGAGGAAAGTATGTAGTTATGAATCCCACGGGTGAGAAAACGAGGTAGTATATATGGACTGACTGACTGATTGATTGATTGATCGATTGATTGATTACCACTATCCCACCAGCTACTAGTCATTCTTCTTGTCAAGTGGAAATCCATCGAAAAATCTCGAGAAAAAATTCCAGCCCGGCCGAAGCACCAGCACCAGCACTCGCCCTAAATGGACTGGACCACTTCCTCCCTCCACTTCTTCCCCCCTCCTCCTCCCCTCCCCCCTCTCATACTCCGTGGTAATCAAACTGCTGAATGGAAGGAGGAGATCGGCCTAGTGGGATGGCACAGCTGAAGAATCGTCACCGCACGGCCGTTTGTTACTAAGGTTAGAGATTTGTCTCAGACAGTGCAGGCCAGAAATGGGTGATAATCATGGCTACTATTATCAGTGCCGCCCGGATGCCATAAAAAAAAAGGAGCCCAGAGCAGGGGCGGCCGCAATTGACCATTGGATGATCGTGCAGCTTGATATTTATAGGATCCTCCATTGGTCGGTAGGGAGGGAGAAGCGATGTACTAAAGAAAGAGGAAAAGAGAAAATAAACACGGACAATTCCGTGGTGCTTATCCTAGCAGCAACTAACTTTACAAGCAGTCAATCACGACCACCACAGCTCGGGAGAGCTTGAGAGGCGGTTCGTGATCAGAGACATGTGGACTCCACTGTTCCCCTGTCGGACAATCCTCCTCACTCCAAACTCTGTACGGGGTCTGTAGTAAATACTCCCAGGCTGTACAGTGTCATCATCATATCCGGGATCCCCGTCACCTTAAGCAGCCAGCTAAACTACTTGCTCTCGACCTCTGTGCATGCCTCCCTCCCTCGTTCATGAAGGTCAACTGCGGACCGTGACATTCTTGACTTGACTTGACTTGACATTTTGCGGCCCACAAACCCTGAATTTGGTGCCTGGCCTGTCAATTCATAGTTTCAGATTGTAACTGATTTACCTAATGGGCGCCGGAAAGGGCGGCGGGCTGGATGTTTCCATGGACACCGCAGCCCATCGCATGTTTGCCGCCATCCTCCCTTACCAAATCTCAGGATTCCCTAATCAACTTATACGATATGCTTAAATCACTGGCCAACCAACAATCAACGCTGCTACAGACTCCAATGAGAAGACAGATACCAAGCAAACCAAATCCCGCTAACTCCATGACGCTGACTCATTGGATACCAAAGAAACCACACCACTGCAACCTGCAACTACTCGCTTATAGCTCCACCGCATCAACGTCGTAAACGAGGTGTTTCTGGCCCAGGCCCCACGACTCTAACCCCAGAATCCGATACAGGCTCAAACTAGCCCACATAACGTTTTCCTTCAGCCACAACGCCCGAGGGTTCATGGCTTTCCGGCCTTGCCCATTCTTGGCCGCCAGTTGATAGATCTCGTTGACCCGCGGTCGACGAATTGCGTCGTATCGGGCAAACGCATCGTCCAAGCTCCAGTCCTGCTCTTGCAGTACCCGTGAAAGCAAGAATACATCTTCCAAGGCCATGGACACCCCTTGCCCTGCGTGAGGCTGCATTGCATGCGCTGCGTCCCCAAGCAGGATTGTCCGAGATGTATACCATTTCCCACCCAGCGGGAGTCGGAAGACCGGATAGAATCCGATAACCTCCATGCGGTCCACCAACTCAGTCAGGATGCCTCGCCATTCGCCTTGAGCGGGCTTCGACACTGCTCTGATCGTGGCCTTGAACATCTCCATCTCTTGTTGACGTCGCTCTTCCCACCCGTCCCGCTCGTTGCCGGACTCAGAGTGCGGAATGGGCGTCTCCCGCGAAAACAGCCAGTAGAGCTGGTCCCCGGACGCACTACACGGGAATGTTGCCATAAACCCCGCGGTGGTGGGAATTATGTTGGCCGACGTTTTAAGCTTCTCCGGTAGACCAGCCGTCGAGATGATGGAACCGCTACCCGCAATGCCGGAGTATTCGGGCTTGCAAGGCGGGTCAACATGCAAACGTCTCACGCTGGAATGGATTCCGTCACATCCAATGAGTATGTCGGCCGTCTCGGTCGAGCCGTCAGAGAAGGTTACCGTCACGCTGGATGCATTCTCCGTGATCGAGGTCAGTCGTTTATCGAGATGGACCGGAATCTGCTCCTCATGAACGGCGTCGAACAATACGCTCTGTAGGTCTCGCCGGAGAATGCGCAAATATCCAAAGCCAGTCCTTTCCGCCGCCCAGGCTGAGATATCAGTGCTACCGATGCTGCCGTATTGCAGTGATTGCAGATGGAATCTGTCGACGGAAGAGCCGCGGGCAAGGAGGGCGTCGTGCAGACCCAACCGTTGAAGAAGACGCAAGCCGTTGGCAAATATGCCTATAGCCCCACCAATCGTAGTTGGCTCAGGTCTTAGCTCGTACACTGTAACATGGATGCTGTTCTCGCGATGTAATCTGAGTGCAGCAGCAAGGCCAGCCGGGCCCGCACCGATGATAATAGCCTAGATAGATAGATGTCAGTAGCACTTACCAAGACTCTAGAGAATATAACTTACTTTCTTAATAACAGGCATGGTAGTCTGATGATTTATTTGGCATGTATTGAAAGCAATGCAGGAGAGGTTGTCGCCTGTTTTTATAGACAGGAGGGAATGGTGTTCCGCGGGGGTTTCCGCGGAGGGTGATGCCCCAACGGGATTAGCTCTGGCATTGCCAGTGTCCGGGGTAGGGAGATCTTACCCGCAGTCCAGTTACGGTACTTCTTCTTAGTATGGTTATCTATCCACTATCCACTAAACTATGTGTTCGCTCTCTTTCGCCGTGCCAGGCCAGGGCAAAAAGGAAGCGCTTGTGCTTCAAGACCTTGTGATTCCCACACTACATAACCAAGAAGAGGACGAGGACGGAAATGAGCTCATTCATTGGGTGCTATTTTCACACTTGTCTTATTCTCTTGGTCTGAAGGGTACGAAATATCGGTGCATGGATCTTTCTGCTGGACATGCTGACATGACTAAGATACAAGTAAACCTTCACTCTTACGAGAACACCCAACTTACAAGGCATAGCTATCGCTACGAGACAAACAATAGTGACCAACGCTTTGCAATGACCCAGCTAGGAAAATTCCTCGCAGATCAGTCCATAATAGCTAGCTTCGCGCTCGAACAAGCACTCCGGAACTGCTGTGGCCTCGTCGAAAGCAACTCCAAGTGTAGATAAGAATCTGCTATTCTTATCTCTAACTTCTGGGACAGCTTGAGAAACGCTTAATTCGGCCAAACATGCAGCGTTCTCCAACATGACTGACCCACCACGACACACTGTTATCATGAAAGCAACACCGTCTTCAAGTTACTGTGCTGCAATGATCTTATCAGCCATCTCGGGAAGCGTCTCTGCCATGACATCCATATCTCCAAACAACTCAGTGATTGGCTCCTTCTCCCAAATGGAACAATAAGCGGATTTGTAACTGTTAGGACGTGTTAGCAGCCTCGGAACCCGGTTGTGATGCTGCACCACTCACCCCGCACAGCGAGCCGCCGAAACGTCCCACATATGACCGGCAGCGAACCATGGCCGCCCATTCAGTGACAGTTGCTCAAGGAGCGGCTGGTACGCTTGCAGATCAGGCTTTCCTATCCCCTGGGTATCGCAGGACAGCAGATTCTCTGCGGGCCATTCGAGACCGGCCTCTGCGAAGTAGCCCCCCACTCTCGCCAGGTCCCCAGCTGTGAAAGCCCAAACCGTGTACCCAGCGTCGCGCAGCTTGGTGATGCATTCTATTGCGCCCGGTCGCAATCCAAGTTTAGCATACTTTTCCATGATGAATTCGAGGTCCTTTTCCGTGGCGAAACTTCGGGGCTCGGAGATGCCTGCCATGTGCAGCATGCGCCAGAACAGCAGCTCAAAGCAGGTCGCAAAGGGCTTATACTGGCCACTGATGCTAAGATAAGTGTATTCCCGCTCTGCAACTTCGATCCAGGTGTA